TAGAAGACGTGTATAGTAGTTAAGGAGTTTTGGTAGTTAACGTTTCGCCTGTGTTATAGGCTTTTCCACGCTTGTGAAATTGTCAATATTCGAGTGATAAAGCCTGCAGCGTAGGCGAAACGTTTCGTCAGTAAAAATTCTTAGTGTTGTACATGTGTCTTATCAACTTGTTTGGGGTTACTGATTTCTGTCTTCATGGACCTTGTTTGTGATGCATCCTTGTTAAACTCGCTGTTCTTGTCTAGCGCTTTGAGACGTACTGTCCTCATCTATATAAGGTTACCTGGAGGTTATTCCGGGGATCAACGCCCCCGCGGCCCGGTCCATGATCAGGCCTCCCGATGGATCAGGGCCTGATCAACTAGGCTGTTACTGCTGGCCGCACGCAGTCCAACGTACGAGCCACAGCCCGGCTGATCCGGCACTGACTTTAGGTATCTGTCCAGCTCTCTCTCTTGAAGGCGGCCAGGGGTTTATTGGCAATTCCCCTAATGCTTGATGGGAGGCTGTTGAACAGTTTTGGGCCCCGGACACTTATGGTGTTTTCCCTTAGTGTACCAATGGCGTCCCTACTTTTTATTGGGGGCATTTTGCATCGCCTGCCCAGTCTTTTACTTTCGAAGGGAGTGATTTCTGTGTGGTTACAGGGTTCGATTCACAGCTCCTTGCCTTGTGTGTGTGTGTGTGTGTGTGTGTGTGTGTGTGTGTATTCACGTATATATAGTTGCAGGGATCGATTCACTATGTGTGTACTTACCTATTTGTGGTTGCATGGGTAGATTCACAGCTCCTGGCCCCGTCTCTTCGCTGGTCGCTACTAGGTCCACTCCCTCCCTACTCCATGAGCTTTATCATATCTCTTCTTAAAGCTATGTATGGATCCTGCCTCCACTACATCACTCTCCAGACTGTTCCACTGTGTGTGTGTGTGTGTGTGTGTGTGTGTGTGTGTGTGTGTGTGTGTGTGTGTGTGTGTGTGTGTGTGTGTGTAACCTGGCGGCGGGTGCGTCAAAGAGGTGCAACAAAGAAGCCGCAGAGTAGCCGTGTCCACACCTCCCAAATTACTAGTGTAAGCGGCCGCCTGGCTGACCAGCTGCAGGTCGAGCAGGCAGCGCTGACCAGCCACCACCCGCAACACGATGGCGGTAATGAGGTGTTCCCTCACAGCAGGCCAGAATACATGTGGTTATTGGGAAGTGGGTGGCAGGCGGGCGGGCGGGCGTCCCAGCCCAGACTTCCACGTGCCAAAGATTCCATCCCGCCTCCCGGGCCTCACCAGCGACTCCGCTTTCAACTCTGACTTCGGCTTCGCTGTGGCAGGAACGGTTCCTTCCACTGCAAGTCTGCCACTTTTTAACATGGAAGTTTTACTGCTGTAAATATTGTTTAGTGTTATTAATAAAGGATGACCTATAAGCTTTACTGGATGAGTGAATATGTGAAGTGTTAAGCATAGTGGAATGTGTAGAGGGGCAGGAAATAATGTTTCCCGAGTGGAGGTCGAGCCAGGGAGAGGAGAGGAGAGGAAAGGAGAGGATTGGAAGGCGTCATTCCACACATTGCTCAGGTCTGCCGCAACCCCCTGCGTCTTGTTCCTCCTGCTGCTGCTGCTGCTGCTGCTGCTGCTGCTGCTGCTGCTGTTGTTGTTGTTGTTTCTGCTTCTGCTGCTCCTGCTCCTCCTCCTCTTCCTCCTCCAACGCCACACTGCTGTAGTTTTTTCTCCATTTCCTGAAAAAGAATACAGCGAAATCAGCATTAGGTGTTATTGTAGCTTGTCAAGTGAGAGTGAAGGGCCCCAGTGGAAATGTCACTGCCTTTTTTTGGGGTGGGGGGGGGGGGGAGGGTTATCCTAGGTAATTTACATTATGTGCCATTTACATTATGTATGATTGTACTTATGTGTACCTGTGCCTATGTAAACCTATTTACTGAGACATAACGACAGATAGAACAACACGACCTTTAATTAATCTCGCTGCGTCCCCAAATTACCCTCCAATGTCTGTAAAACGACTTGCAAAAACACTTAAGAATTGTCAGTAATAACACTATTCTTCCTGGTGTTGTTTAACACCACACCGTCTGTGGTGATTCATCCTGTTGTGTTGGTATGCTGCCCAAGTTACACAGACTAACTAGACAGTGAACTTAGTACGTAATGCCAAGCGGTCACTTCGAAATTTAAAACTGAGTCAGTATGCCATTATTGTTTTGTGTAATATTAGTGTCATCCAGTGGGAATAAGTTTGGCCAGTGTTTCAGAAATTATAAATAAACCTGATTTCTTTGTGATGGTGTTCGTCGTGGCAGTCATAGCAGATTCAAAGTCAATTCGATTCCGTCTTGGTAAATTAGACACATGTGCAACACTTGGGTATCTTTAATGAGGAAACGTTTCACCACATAGTGGCTTCATCAGTCCATACAAAATGAACATTAAAATGGTATAAAATACCGACAGATTGTTAGGTAAGACACATATGCAACAGTTAGGTATCTTTATTTTGAAACGTTTCGCCTACACAGTAGGCTTCTTCAGTCGAGTACAGAAAAGTTGATAGAAGCAGAAGATACTTGAAGACGATGTAATCAGTCCATCACCCTTAAAGTTTTGAGGTGGTCAGTCCCTCAGTCTGGAGAAGAGCATTGTTCCGTTGTCTGAAACAATATGAGGGACTGACCACCTCAAAACTTTAAGGGTGATGGACTGATTACATCGTCTTCAAGTATCTTCTGCTTCTATCAACTTTTCTGTACTCGACTGAAGAAGCCTACTGTGTAGGCGAAACGTTTCAAAATAAAGATACCTAACTGTTGCATATGTGTCTTACCTAACAGTCCATACAAAGGAGAATCGTGAAGAACAGGAGGAATTTGAGGTAATCAGTCCCTCAGCCTTGAATCGACGTAATCAGTCCCTCAGCCTTGAATCGACGTAATCAGTCCCTCAGCCTTGAATCGACGTAATCAGTCCAGTCTTGAAAATACAGCATATGTGCGAAGAAGTGGTTTATATACTGTAGGCAGATGAGGTGCAGCAGTCGTAGGTGGTAATGTGGAAGTAGATCGTGCCCAAGGGTTAGGCAAGTGAAGAATTCCTCATTAAAGATACCCAAGTGTTGCATGTGTCTAATTTACCAACTTGTCGGGTCTCTGAACCATTCATCTACAATCGATTCCGTCTTTTTGCTTCTAGAGGTGAGGTTCAGCTTATGTTGTGTGTTAGGGTGAAGAGTACAGTCTGAAGATTGACATATGTGCAACAGTTGGGTAACTGTATTGATGAAGCGTTTCGCCTACACAAGCTTCTTCAGTCAAATACAGAGGGAGCAGCAGTAGTGAAATAAAGATGATGTAATCAGTCCATCAACCTTGGAGAAAGAGTGTTTGTGGTGGTCAGTCCCTCAGCCTAGAGAAGAGTTCAGTTCCATTGTCCTGAACGATATCGTTCCAGACCATGGAGTTGAGGGGACGTTACTGGAAAAAGTTTCGGTCCTAGGACCTTGATCAAGGTTCCAGGACCGAAACTTTTTCTAACAAATATATCGTAGTGTTTGTTCACGTGTCTTTCTAAACTAATTTGTCGGTATGTATTACCAAGGTTTATACCGCACTTGTTTTAAATACAGCTACATGAAGAAGTACCGAAGTCTGCCTACTGACCTATCTAATTTTAAACCTGGAAGTTTCCACTTGGCTGAGCAATGTTACTGCCGGTGACATCACTCGCTTATCCCAACACCTCACGTCTCGCTACTATATATACGCTCTCTTTTTTACTTGTCTTTGTGAGAATTGATAGTCCCTGGTGAACGAAATGCTTTCTCAAAAAATGTAAACAAAGAAAGGCAAGTTTTCTTTGTTTTGCTTAGTGCCCAGAGTTTTTCTGGCCACTTTGCTGACAGGAAAGTATTTTGTAGTTTCACTCTTACATGTAAGAGTTATTGATGATAAGCAAGATATTTTCTGTACCAAGATACCGTTGTGTTGCAGTGTCTGACAGTGAATATGAAAACGGTATACAATACTTATCAACCTGTCTGTGTTGTATACCATTTTCATATTCAGTATTACTGATGGCGGGAAATGTAAACAGCTAAATACTTGTATAGTGTAGTCACACCCCTCTTCCAGGAACTGTGGGCTGACAATCCTGTGTTTTTTCAAGAACGCATCTCCTGGCGCTGATGTCAGGGTGTGTACTGACGTGTATGAGGTTGTTCTTGTACTTTAATAGATTACTCTGTGGCTAGCTGATGGCATTTAGGAATAGGAAGTTCTTGTTGCTTCTCTCCTACAGGTATACGAGTCGGTGTACGTTGGACTTACCTAGTCTGGGCCAGTAGGTCTGCCAGTGTCTGAATCTTCTGCTGCAGTACTTATGATTGGTCCATGACCAGGCTGTGGGAATAGGAAAACTCTAGAATTCCAGTTGTCCTTTCCTGTTGGTAATTCCCAGAGATTTTCCCCGTTTTCTTGACTCATTTACGTCTGCCCTTACATGAATCCATTGTGACTGCCTCTCATTCCCTACTCCCCGTATAATGCCTGGGGTTTAGCGCTTCTCTTGGAATGTAATAAAGATAATCTAGAGTATTCACCGGACACATTTTTATTGGGTTTAACATGGGTAGTGTAGATAAATAATTCAGAGAACCGACAAGTTGATAAATTAGACGCATGTGACACACACACACACAGTGGCTTCGTCAGTTCTATACAAAGAAGAATAGTGAAGATAGGAGTTGGAGTTAATCAGTCCCTCAGCCTTGGAATTGAAGAGGACCGTAGTCTTGAAGTTCCTTGAACTCCAAGGCTGAGGGACTGATTACCTCATCTTTTGTATATAATTCTTCACATTGTCTGTATTATACTGATAAAGCCACTGGTTGTTGAAACGTCTACACATAAAGATACTCAGATGTTGTAATGTGTGTAATTGTTCATCTTGTCGGTATTGTATAACACTGATGTACAACGGATGTTATGTTTGTTGTCAGCTGGACCTGTCGACCCGGAGATTGATGAGCACTTCCGCCGTAGTCTGGGCAAGGACTATCACCAGCTGTTTGCAGCCACCACACCCAAACCTCTTCCCTCCACAGACTCAGGTAATTATACTTAAATATAGGCCACAATACTGTGTCTATAACAAGTCCCAATTAACCCACTATTTGGAGAAGGAACTGAGCGACGTTTTGGTCGGTCCTGGACCATTTAATAATAGTTCAGGACTAACCGAAACATGTTCTGAAATTTCCTATGTTATTAAATTTCGTATGTTATTACACTGTAAATTATATACACTTGCCAATATTTTGTTATTAGACTAACTTCATTATGCACACCCATGGTATGGGTGGTAGTCAAAATGAGGCAGGTAATGGGTCCAGGGACTGTACCTCAACATTACAGAGGCACATAATGGGTCCATGGACTAAGGCCCAGATTTTGATAAACAAGAGTGGCAGTGAACTTTTCACGTGTGTATATCTGGTTACAATCGTAATGAGTTATTTTTACACACACGAATTCAGTCACCATATTTTGTTTCTCTCGTGTGTTCGGTGTTTATTCTCTCCTCCTCCCTGGGTCCCATTGGCACGTGCCTAGTCTTTTATTCTCTCCTGTTTCGTTACTGCCAAGCCACTAGCTAAATTGCTCACCCTTTCCACAGTGCTTACCAACTTGTCTCTTAAACAGTGTTCGTGTTAACACCTGCCACTCTCCCAGTCTTGTTAAAACAACTCGTCTGATGTTGCTGAGGATAATGTAAGAGACCCCCCTGGACACCCGTTTTCTATACTTTTTTCCTCTAATGACGTCACGCATTTTAAACATCTCTCCGAAGTCTTTTTCATTCTTTCTTTCGCATCGTCCGCGTGTCATTGCCGCTGCCTGAAAGCTCTCGAATTCCTGGTGGACTAGAGATGTTTTTGTCTGGCTTAGTGGAGGCTGGTGGTGATCCCTGGGCGAGGGTTCAGACGGTCAGGCCGCCTGATGGAGCAGGTCCGGGGATACTCAAAAGAGATTTTGATACCGCATCACACTTACATTGTCATTCCGGCTCCGCTACCTGTAAACACTAGGCACTACACACTCAGTCTGTTCAACTTGCTCTGAGAAAAGCCAAGCCAGAGGCTTAGTAGGTGTTTAGCTCCTGTCCATTGTGTGGGGGTAATCTACTTGCCACTATCTCTTAGTGGCTACAACAGTGCTGTGTTGCTGGTGTAAAATCTTCAGTGTTTGTAGTTACAACAACAGTGTTACTAGTGTACCATCTACAATGCAGTTACAACAACAGTGTTGCTGGTGTACCATCTACATTATTATTATAATCAAAAAGAAGCGCTAAGCCACAAGGACTATACAGCGCTGCAGGGCAGGAAGGAAGCGAGGGCATCAGGTGGCAAAAGGGAGGTGGATGAGTAATAGGTTAAGGATAACAGCGGAGCAGTGGATGGTGAAAGGGTAAAGGGCAGCAAGAGACTGAGCTAGAAAGGGCTGAGGGGAGTGCGTAAGGTATCATCATCAGAGTTTGTGGAGTAAATCAGTCGTTGTCAAGAAGTCAATGAGAGAGTCAGGATTAAAGGAGGGTCCATCAGCAAGAAGGGAAGGTAAAGAGAGAGCAGTAGAACGAAGACTGCAGACTGCGTTGGAGGTAAATTCTGCATGCTCGTTGATAGAGAGGGCAGTCTAACAGAATGTGGCTAATCGATACTGGAACTTGACATTGCTCACAGAGAGGTACAGGGTGCCTCTCCATGAGATACCCGTGAGTAAGACGAGTGTGGCCAATGCGAAGACGGGAGAGAGTGGTCTCCCAACCATGGCACTGATGACAAGAAGACAGCCAGTAACCTATGCTCGGTTTAATAGAATGAAGTTTGTTACCAAGCAGAGTTGACCAACGTTGTTGCCAATGGGCGCGAAGGTGGGCAGCTATTGTAGCAAAATATCCAGAAATGGAACACCTCTATAGGAAATTGGTAGGTCATGTACTGCTGACCGCGCAGCACTGTCTGCCTGTTCATTGCCCCGTACGTCAACAGACCAGGGACCCAACAAAAAATAATATCTTTATGCTTGGTAGAGATACGGCGTAGCCAAAGTTGGATACGGAGAAACTGGGATAGATATATCAAATTTTTGTATAGCCTGTAGAGCACTAAGGGGTTCTGAGACTATACAAATATGACACAGCATAGATTTCGATACGAATAAGTGCTGCAAGAATGGCATACAGTTCAGCAGTTAAAAATGCAAACTGAAGAATAGTAAATGCCCCCGCACGACGCTGTCCGGAAACACTGCTGCGAATCCGACGCCGTCTGAAGACTTAGAGCCATCTGTGTACACAGCGGTGGATGAGAATGGGAGTGGAAGTGATCAAGAAAAGAGGAGCGGGAAGCTACTGTAGGGAGTTTAGCTTTCGAGCAAGGGAGTGAGAAAGAACAGACCCAACAGCTGGAACTTCCCAGGGGGGGAGGGAAAAGTGAGATGCTACATGAACATATAAAGTGGTAACTGAAGGGGAAAACAAGAGTGAATGTAGGCGAAGAGAAAAGGGACGGAGCAAACAGGGGCGGCAAACGAAATAAAGAATGCTACTAATATCGGTGACCATTCTATAAATGGAAGGATTGTGTAGATCGTGAGAGCGTACATAGTAGTTTAAGGCAATGGGCATCACGGCGATCAGACAAGGATGGAACATTCGCTTCTGCATAGAGGCTCTCAACAGAGGAAAGAGCGAAAAAGCACCAAGGCACAAACGTAATCCTTGGTGATGGATAGAGTTAAGGCTAGAGAGAGTAGCAGGAGAGGCCGCGGAATAAATCTGGTCACCATAATCGAGTTTCGATAAAACGAGGGCTGAATGTAGGCGAAGCAGAGTTAGAACGATCAGCTCCCCGGGAAAGATGAGCAAGGGTTTTAAGAAGGTTTACCCGGGCAGTGACAAGTTGCCTTAGAGAGGAAATGTGAGGTTCCAGGATAGCTACGGTCAAAGAGAAGGCCTAAAAACCTGACTGTATCACGTTCGGGGATAGGGAGCGATAGAGATCAAAGGATGATCGGAGATAACAGAGCGTCTAGTGAAAGTAATTTGGTAAGTTTTGGTACTGGAAAATTTAAAAACCCATGCGTGGGGGCCAAGTGGAAACACGGTCAAACGCAATGCTGGAGAGAAATGCAAATAAGATGAGTCAGTGCCTGCACAAGCAAAGCGAAGTCATCAACATAGAGTGATGACCAAATATTGGGTGAAAGAATAGGGGCCAAATCTTTATAGCAAGGAGAAAAGTGTTGTGCTTAGAACACATCCCTGAGGGACACCTTCAGTTTGGGAAACGAAGTCCGGGGAAGAACATTATTGACTCGAACACGGAAATGCTGTCAGTTAAAAAGTTCTTAAGGAAGGATGGTAGATTGCCTCGGGGGGCCTAAGGAATGGGCCTGGGCCAAAATATTATTCCTCCAAGTTGTGTCTATGCCTTCTCAAGGTCAAAAATATGGCAATAACTGAGTGATTTTTCGAAAAAGGCATTACGAACAAAACGTTATCAAGCGTAGTAAGGGGTCTATGGTAGAACGACCCTTACGAAAGCCATATTGCTAGCGGAGAGACTGTTGTGTGTCTCAAAAATACCAAAATTAAACATCGTTTTACGAGACGTTCCATCACTTTGCAAACTGCATAGAAAAGAGCGATGGGACGATAGTGGGAGGCATCATGTCCGGGTAGTACCTGGTTTGCGGAAAGGGAAACAATGGCAGATCTCCACAGTGGGGAAGAACCCTTTTCCCCAAAAATAAGATTGAAGAGGTGTAGAGGACTACAAGGGCTGACCGATGTAAATGTTGTAACATGCGAATATGAATGTAGTCAGGCCCAGCTGCCGATGATCGGCAAGTTGAGAGCGTTGCCTCTAGTTCTTGAAGTGTAAAAGGCACATTATACTGTACTTCTCTGAGAGAAGAAAAGTCCAAGGGTACTAACTCTCTGGCAGACTTTGAGGAAAGAAACGAGGGGCATAGATGGAGCCCTCGGGAAATACGGACCAGATGTGTGGCTCTGGTGGCCTGGTGGTTAATGCTCTCGCTTCACACGGCGAGGGCCTGGGTTCGATTCCCAGCCAGAGTAGAAACATTGGGCGTGTTTCTTTCCACCTGTTGTCTATGTTCCCCATCAGTAAAATGGGTACCTGGGTGTTAGTCGACTGGTGTGGGTCGCATCCTGGGACACTGACCTAATTTGCCTGAGATGCTCAGCATAACAAAGTGGCTTTCTATGTAGTAGTATTATTATTATTATTAAGTTCAATGGCAACGTCGAGAGGGTTTGCTACATCAACACCAGCGACCCATAGAAAAGGAGCCGGGTCAGGAGAGTATTTACCACTTAATTTCCTCACTTTTTTCCAGACTACACTCATAGAAGAAGCAGAGGTGATGGTGGAAACATAGTCTCACCAACAAGTGTGTTTAGCTTCACGGATGACACAGCGAGCGATCGCACGCTTCTGCTTAAAATCAAGAAGTCTCTCAGCGGTCCTATTGTACCGGTACCTGCCCCATGCAGCGCGTTTCAAACGTACTGCACGAGCACAAGCAGGAGACCACCAAGGCACGCACTTCTGGAATGCCTGCCTGAGGTTTGGGGTATAGAATGAGAAGCTGCGGTATAAACTAACGTCGAGAAGATGTGTACTAGCTCATCAATGGAGGATGAAGAAGGAACCTCACGAAAAGCAGTGAGGTGTGAGTAAAGATCCCAATTTGCCCGATCAAATTGCCAGCGAGGGTACGGAAAGGTGGTGAATAGGAAGGAGAAGTAAAAATGATCGGAAAATGATCGCTGTCATGTAAGTCGGTAGAACAGACCCGGTGAAGTCTAGTGCAGGGGGAGGAAGAGCAGACTGATAGATCGATGCAAGAGAGAGTATGAGTAGAGGATCAAAAAGGGTGGGGAGTACCCGTATTTAAAACATGTAGGGGGTGAGAGGCGAGAAAAGCCTCCAACTGGATGCACGTGAGCACAATGAGACCCCCCCCCCCCAGAGGAAATTTGGGGGGGATTAAAATCACCAAGTAACAGAAGTGGTGGTGG